CTGAGCCCTGACCCTGGTCACACTCTGAGCCCTGACCCTGGTCACATGCTGAGCCCTGACCCTGGTCACATGCTGAGCCCCGACCCTGTCACACGCTGAGCCCTGACCCTGTGTCTCAGCTGGGATGGTTTGTGCATGTTCACTCAGCATTACTTACGACATATGTTTGCAGGGCCGCCTCCTCTTACAGCCACGTGTGACACTCGACCACATGACATACTCACTCTTGGAAAGAATGAGTCAGAGGCTTCCACCCACCACTGCAGACCCTTCAGGCTGCTCCCCTCCATTGTACACACACACATGCATGCATGGGCTCAACGCCCATGTTTGACACATCTGCTAGTGCTCTGTAAACACGGTGAACTCTCTGCAGCCCCCCTCATTCCGGCCACCACAGTCACGGGACCAAATCTCACCCTCTCTGGCCAGAATACAGCAGGCCACCCAGACCTGCACCCTGGCCTGGCACCATGGCTCAAGGGCCCCCTCTGGCCCCTAGACCAGCCCGCCCAGTGGCAGTAAGACTGCTTGAAAAGGCAAGGGGGGCTTGCAGAGTTCCCTAATGTTTACACCAGCAGAGGTTAGGAATACCTTAGCGCATCCTGTCTTGTTCCTCGGCCAGATGTGTCTCCACCTGCAGAGGGGGCGGTGGTGGCCTGTCAGTCACTTCTGCACTCCTAGAACCAAGCACTGCCCAGGTGAGGGCAGTCATGGTTATAAGTGAGGAAATGAATGATGGATGCAGGAGTAAGTGGTGGATGGATTCACAGTGGGTGGTGGTGGATGAGTGGGTGGGTGGATGATCCATAGCCCTGGTTGAATAGATGGATGAGTGGATGATGGATGGATGGATGGATGGATGGATGGATGGATGTGTGGATTGATGGGTGACAGGTAGATGATGGATAAACAATCAGATGGGTGGAATATCACTCTTCCAGGGCTGCTGAAACAAATTACCATGCAGTGGGTGGCTTAGAACAACAGAAATTTATTCTGCCACCATTATGGAGACTAGAAGTCTGAATTCAGGATGTTGGCCAGGATATGCTCTCTTCAAAGGCTCTAGAGGAGGATCCTTCCTTGTCGGTTTCAGCTTCTGGTCGCCCCCAGCATTCCTTGGCTTGGACGCATCATTCCAGTCTCTGCCTCCACTGTCATATGGCATTCTCTTCCCTGTATGTTCATCTGGCTGTGTCTCTTCCCCTCTTATTATAAGGACGCCAGTCATATGGGATTAGGGTTCAGCCTACTCTCTCGTGACCTCATGATAACTAACTGCATCTGCAAAGACCATGTTCCCAAACAAGGTCACATTCACAGCTACCGAGAGTTAGGACACGATTCAACCTGTAACAGGATAAATGGATAAATGGGTGTGTAGGTGGATTGTACACTGGAGGGTGAGGGGATGGCTAGAGATGAGGGAATAGATAGACGATCAGGTGAAAAGAAGGAAGAGGGTGGGAGACTGGTTGGAAGGATGGATGGGTTGAGGTGGATGGATGGGGATATGGATGGCTGGGTGGGTGGATGGATGGATGGATGGGTGGGTGGGTAGATGGATGGATGGATTGAGATGGATCATGGATGGAGAGAGGATGGGTGGATGGATGGATGGGTGGATGGACGGACAGTGGATGGATGGATAGATGGATGATTGGATGGAGGGATGGTGGATGGATGGATGGATAAGTGGATGAATGGTGGATGGATGGTGGATGGATGGCGGATGAGTGGATGAATGGTGGATGGATGGATGGTGGATGGATGGATGGATGGATGGATGGATGGATGGATGGTGGATGGATGGATGGGTGAGTGGATGAATGGATGGATGGCAGACGGATGGATGGATGGATGGCGGATGGATGGATGAGCGGATGACTGGCAGATGGATGGATGGATGGTTGATGGATGGCGGATGGATGGATGGATGAGTGGATGAATGAATGGATGGCGGATGGATGGATGGTGGATGGATGGATGAATGGTGGATGGATGGATGGGTGAGTGGATGAATGGATAACTAATGGTGGAGACACACATGCACTGGTTGATGATGGGGTTGCTGAAGGCCAGGAACACGTGCTGAAAGTTAAGCTCCGTGGTCCTGAAAGGACAGCTCCATGGGTATTTCACATGTACCAAAAAAGAAGACTCATAGCTCATAGGGACCATACTAGGACAGAGTAGAACTGCCCTATAGGGTTTCCAAGGAGCAGCTGCTAGATTCGAAGTGCCACCGTTCTGGTTAGCAGCTGAGTGCTTAACTGCTGCGTCACCAGGGCTCCTCTTTCACACGTGGGAGATTACGAAATGGAGTGTTTTTGAATTCTTCTTTGTTTGTTTTTAATAAATAACCCGCAGTTGCCTAGAGTATAAAAGTCAGAGCGGGCAGTATCCAAATGGATCATCTGCGTTTCCCTCACTTGAAAAGTGGTGCAGCTGGGGTGAGTGGGCAGGTGCTCCAGAATAAGGCCAGGGCACAGGGCTACTGCCCTCCCTGCGAGGGTTCATCCTGCTACGCCAGCATTTGTTGGAGTGTATGACTGCAGCCTCCAGCCCTACAAGGGCTCCAGGAAGGGAGGGGTCCCTGCCTGTCATGTCATGTGCTCCTGGTCCACATAAGTGCTGAGGGCAAAGGCCCTGAGAAGTCCTGTAGCAGGCTCTTATTCACCCGGTGAGTATCCCCTAACTAGCTGGCTCTCAGCACCCATACTCGGCCCCACAGGGTCCTCTCCTGTCTGTGCCAGCAGAGCTGACCAGCCTGCGCGGCACAGGGCACAGTGTGTAGAGACATCCCTCATACTCCCTCGGCTCCCAGCCTGAATCCTGACCCCCGCCAGGACCTTCAGACGCCCCCACCTGACTTCACAAAGCTTCTCCATGTGGTCATCTTTATTAGCTTATCTTACAGCCAAGGATGCTGAGGCCCAGACAGCTCCAACAAGCCCGGGGTCCCCCAGTGCATCATTGCAGCCTAAGCTGTACCCCACTTGTGCTGACCCCGGCCCCCGCCACACAGAGAGCCCAGGCCTGGCCCCCTCCCTGGGGTCTCTGCCCAAGTGCAGTCCTGGTCCCTTTAAGAGCCTCACCGCCTCCCTCACCCCTGCACCGGTTTCCTAGGAGAGGACAGTGAGGGGGAAGGCAGAAGGGGGGTGAGCGGAAGGGAGACTTGGCAAGGTCCCCAGGTCGCTGTCAGCGGCCCGGTTCCCATCCCGATTTCCCCCACACCGGCTGGCCTTCCTGATGGGGGCAGAGGGGGCGAGGGAGGAAGGGGGGTGGGGGCCGGCCCCACACAGAAGCCTCTTTGGTGCCTGTAAGGGCCTGAGACTCACACCAGTGAGTCAGCGAGTGGGAAGGAGGTCCCAGGCGTTCCTGTGGTCGTTCTGCTCCCCGACCTTTCCGGGGGGGGGGCTGGGGGAGGGGCAGAAGCCCTCCTCCTCTCCAGCTTCTCCCCTCCTCTTCCCATCCTACCTTCTTCCCTCCACCCCCCCATCCTAACTTCTGCTCTCCACCTCCCGTCTCCATCCTAGCTCTGCCTTCCGCCTTCCCACGCATCCTAACTTCTGCCCTCTGCCCCCCATCCTAGCTCTGCCCTCTGCCCCCCATCCTAGTTCTGCCCTCTGCCCCCCATCCTAGCTCTGTCCTGCACCCCTCATCCTAGCTCTGCCCTCTGCCCCCCATCCTAGCTCTGCCCGCCGCAGCCCTGAACTCAGTCCCTTCCCTGCTGTCCCTCTTCCCTTCTACTTGCCCCTGAATGGAAAGCAGCCAGGGCAGTAGGGCCCCTGGTGGACCCTCTCCTGGCCTCTGCTCCCTCACCCCAAAAGCGGCTTCTGAGGCCAGGCCGGCCCCCTGCCCACAGACCGGGGGCCTGGAGGGAGCCTTCGGGTCGTGAGGTCAGGGTGGTCTGAATGGGAATGGGCATGGATGTCTTCCTGCAGCTCCCAGGCCCCTCCCCAGGCCTTCCCCACAGCACTGGGCCCCACCTGCTCCTGGCCCCTAGCACTGGCGGCCCGCGTAGAATCTGGGATCCACATGCCCTCCTCCAGGGGCCTCCCGCCTTACCTGCTTCCCCAAGCTCTGACCCCCAACCTGAGAGATCCCCTGGTCCCTGTCTGCCACCCAGCAGAACCCAAACCCCCTGAGGGAGGACCTGGTCTTGTCAGCTCACTTTGGAGCCAGGAGCTGTTTGTTCAGAGAATGAGCAAAAACCCTTTGAATGCTGCCCATCCTGGGGGGGTCACTGACCCTCTGGGAACTGGACTCACTCATTCATTCACCCCGTTGGCTCATTCATTCATCCCCTGAGCACATCTTTTCTCTCCGATCAGGGCAACAGCATCTGCCCTCAGGGCCCCCCCCACATCTACCATCCAGAACCTTCCGCCCTACCCAGCAGGACCCCCACCAGAAACACCTCACGCTGGTGAGCTCGCTCCCCATACGGGGTGAGACGGGGCCCTCCACAGGGGGCGAGGGCCAGGACGGGGTGCTGGGGGCACTGAGCGTGCCCGCGTGTAGTGGAGAGTCACCCCTGTCTGCAGTGCCGGCCTGGGCCCGCGTGAGCCGAGGATGGGGCTCTGCGGGATCTTATGGCCGGGTCAGCGGGCCCGATGGGCCCCTCCCTCCAGCTCAGGGATCCTGGCTCTGGCCGGGCTGGCCCTCCTGTCTGTACCGGGGAGAGGATGAGTGCCTCCAGGGCCATGTAGTCAGCAGAGACATTGTCCGCCCCCTTCCCGGTCCTGGAGGTGCCGCCGGGCGCCACAGTGGCCACTGTAGATGGTGGCCCAGAGCTTTCCCCCTTCCACTGGGGGGGTGCTGTGCTGGCTGCAGGTGGGGCATGACAGACATTAGGGTTGGGGACAGGGTGCACGTGGAGCGTGCGGCTGGGCCCGTGACGAGGCGCCTGGGGCTGGCTGCACTGTGCTGTCCAGTCCTGCCCTGTGCCCTCCTGCTCCTCACCTGTACCTGCCGGACCTGCACTGTGGTGTCACACTTTGGCCTGCAGCTGTGTGTTGGGGGTCCCTGCGCGTGTGGGTCTCTGTGCCTGCAGGTGGGGGTGTGCAGCTTGGGGTGAGTGTGTGTCCATGGAGATACGTGGGTGAGGGCGGGGGGGGGTGGTTGGTCCAGGAATCCCTGACCTCACAGGTGGAGGTGGGGTGCAGCGGCTCAGGGGGGGCAGGTTAGGCCTCCACGCTGTCTCCCCTCGGCATGGTCAGAGGGTTGGAGGCCCGGCAGGAGGCGGTGTTGACACTGCTGGGCTTGAGGCTGTGGGCGCAGCCGCTTGGAAGGCCTCTCCTCCCAGCTTATTACTGCTTACTGTCACTCTCCCCCACCCTGCCACCATCCTCACTCCACCACCACCCCCATTGTCAGCACCCCCACTACACCTCCGCCCAACCCTGCCCGCGGTAGCCCATGCTGGCCATGATGGATAAGCAGGAGCCCACTGGCAGGAAGGGCGTAGGGGACCCCCAGGCCCAAAGCCCCACATGCACAAAGGCCTGAAGCAGAGAGGGCTTGGGGGGCAGGGGCCAAGTGGTCCGGCGAGAGTGTGAGTCAGGGGGCAGAGAGCCAGGTGGCTGAAGGGGGAAGCACTCAGGCCTGGGAGCCTTGTCCACTGTCCTTGCCCAAGCCCCCACTCATTTCTAGGGCTATAAAGGGGTGAGCTGCCTGGCCTCAGGGGCGACCAAGCAGAGGCAGAACGAGTGCGGTATGGAAGGAGGGAGCTGACGCTGCCTGGGCACCGGCTCTGCCAGGCCCTTCTGTCGAGTGCTTATCCCGTACCCCTGTCCTGTCCTCTCCAGACTGGCCCAGGCCTGATGAGAAGCCTGAGGGTCAGGGTGGTGGCAATGCTTGCCAGAGTCACACCTGTCTGGAGTGACCCTGCATTGCCCTCCCGGGCTGCCCTGCATCCAGATGGCCCCACTGACCTTGAAGAGATGTGCCGAGGGCATGTGGGGGGTGGCTGCAGGAGGCTGTGGCGGTGAGGTGCCGGAAGACATGTGGACGATCTTCCTCCTGGTGGCACTCACTGCCCTGCCCCCTCTGCCATTGTGTGTGACTACCCGTTTCCTGCAGCAGAAAAGTCTGGATCAAAACCCCAGCTTCCTAGGAGACCCCAGTGGTTCGTATCCCTACTGGTGATAGAGCTATTCCTCGTTTCTGCAGGGGACAAAGCAATCAGGAACAGCTGGGATGTGGAAGGGCAGAATTTAGGGTAAATACAGGAAGGACTTCCAGGTGAGCAGGGAGAGCAGAGTGTCCATGGGGTCCATTCTCCTTTCTCAGCCTTGGTGCAGGGTCCCTGGAAGCAGGGGGCTGGTAGAAGGACCTCGAGTTCACCCAAGGCAAGTGGGATGTTAAGTGAACGTGGGGATGCCCGGAGGGTTGGAGGTGGTCAGGCAGCTGATGGCCGATGCCAGCTGGTGATTGTGCTGCTTGGGTTCAAATCATCATGTGCTGATGGGGATGGCGGTGGCAAGGCCTCCTGCAAGACTGGTTCTCCTACCTACACCACGCCCTGGACATAGTGGGTGTGGAATGAATGCTCGTTGTTGCATGCTGCTGGTGGTGGTCACCAGGCTCGCTCGTCCTTGTGACACTTGCAGCAATGGTTCTGATGAGGTGATGGCAGTGACAGTGATGTGGTCATGGTGGTGACTGTGACAGGGCAGCAATGGAAGGAACAGAGTGGTGATGGCTTTGGTGATGAGCACTAATGATTGTGTTGCTGATGGTCATGTTATTGGTGGTGGCAGTAGCGATGGTGGTGGTAATGACGTTTGTTATGGTGATGATGGTATGGATAATGTACTGGTGTTGTTAGTGGTGATGTAGCGGTAATGATGGTGGTGGTGATCACGTTGATGTTAACGATGATGATATGGATGATGGTATTGACGGTGGTGCTGGTGGTGGTGATGATGCTGGTGGTGGTGATGGTGCTGGTGGTGTTGATGGTGGTGATGGTGGTGATGGTGGTGATGGTGGTGATGGTGACATTGATGGTGGTGGTGGTGGTGCTGGTGGTGGTGATGATGCTGGTGGTGGTGATGGTGCTGGTGGTGTTGATGGTGGTGATGGTGTTGATGGTGGTGATGGTGGTGTTGTTGATGGTGATGGTGGTGGTGTTGGTGGTGGTGGTGATGGTGGTGATGGTGACATTGATGATGGTGGTGGTGGTGGTGGTGGTGGTGATGGTGATGATGATGATGTTGATAGTGATCATGGTAATGTTGATGGTGGTGATCATGTTGATGATGTTAATGATGTTGATGATATGGGTGGTAGTGTTGATGGTGGTGGTGGTGGTGCTGGTGGTGCTGGTGGTGGTGATGATGATGATGGTGGTATTGATGATGGTGGTGGTGGTGGTAATGGTGGTGGTGATGATCATATTGATGATGTTAATAATGTTGATGATATGGGTGGTGGTGTTGGTGGTGCTGGTGGTGTGATGGTAATGATAATGGTAGTGGTGGTATTGATAGCGGTATTGGTGGTGGTGCTGATGGTAGTGATGGTGTTGATGGTGGTGGTGATGTTGATGGTGGTTATTATGGATTGAATTGTGTCCCCCAAAAATGTGTATCAACTTGATTAGGGCATGATTCCCAGTACTGTGTGATTGTCCACCATTTTATCATTTGATGTGCTTTTCCTATGTGTTCTAAATCCCATCTCTATGACGTTAAAGAGGCAGGATTAGAAGCAGTTATGTTAATGAAGCAAGAGTCAAACTACAAGATTATATTGTATCTTGAGTCAATCCCTTTTGAGATGTAAAAAAGAGAAGCGAGCAGAGAGACAGGGGGACTTCATACCACCAAGAAACAGTGCCAGGAGCAGAGCACGTCCTTTGGACCCAAGGCTTCTGCACTGAGAAGCTCCTAGACCAGGGGAAGATTGATGACAAGGACCTTCCCCCAGAACCGATAGAGAGAAAGGCTTCCCCTAGAGCTGGCAACCTGAATTTGGACTTCTAGCCTCCTAAACTGTGAGGGAATAAATTTCTCTTTATTAAAGCCATCCACTTGTGGTATTTCTGTTATAGCAGCACTAGATGACTAAGACAGTGATGGTGATGGTGGTTATGGTAATGATGGTGGTGGTGGTGGTGGTAATGATGGTGGTGGTGATGAGCAGGTTGATGATGTTAATGATGTTGATGATATGACTAGTGGTGTGATGATGATGGTCATGGTGTTGATGGTGGGGTGTGTTGATGACGGTGACAGTGGTGGTGATGGTAATGCTGGTGGTGGTGATGATGTTATTAGTGTTGCTGGTTTCAATGATAGTGATGAGGATGGAGGTTGTGGTGACAGTTAAGGTGGGGTTGGTGATAGGCTCAGCTCTTAGGGGAATTTGCAGCCCACCGCTCACCCCGGGGAGCCAGGGCCCACCCCGTTGGCACTTTAAGGAGCCAAAGGGCACAGACATGACCAGACGCCACAGGTGGGTGGGAGAATTGGAGTGGAGAGCAGAGGGAAGAGTGTCCGAGGCCCCGCAGTCTTGGGGCTGGCCTTGAAGGTTGGTGAGGATTTGGACCTAGTGGAGCCGGGGGAGTACCCCCGAGAGGCTGGAGGTGCCCGTGGGCTGCCCCATGCCCAGCACAGGGCCCAGCACAGGGCAGGCCAGCGAGGTGCTACCTGATGAGTGACCATACTGGCCCCTTACCCTCCAGCGGATGCCGGTGGCTGGAGTGTGAGGGCTGGGGGAGAGGCAGGCAGTTGGCCCTTTGGCTGGCAGGGGCAGGTGAAAGGCCAGGCTGACTTGGATGAAGGTCTGGCAGGTAAGGTTCTGAGTGAGGGCAAAGGGGCCGTGGGCCCTCCAGGGGGGCCGAGAGTCTTCCTGGGAGGTGTCAGCAGGTGGAGTGGGGCTTGCAGGACCCTAGACCCCCCTAGTTGGCTGCTCTGGACCCCCGTGCCCCCTGCCCAGGTGGGTGGGGAGTCAGGAACAGAGCCGCCGGGCCCTGGGGAGGGCCAGGTTTCCAGCTGGGGTCTGTCGTGTGTGGGAAGCCCTGACTTAGGGCACAGTGGCGCCGGCAGGAGCCAGGAGATAGGCAGCTTGGCGTGGTAGGGGACATGAGTTGCCCCAGGCCCCGGCCCATCAGCGCTGGGGGAGGCTCCCGGGGGTACCCCACAGGCAGGACACAGGCCCAAGGAGGTAGGGAGCCGGAACCTGGGAGCTGGAACTGAATAAGACCCAGGACAGGCAGGTGTCCGAACCCCAGGTTCCACGAGTCACCAAAACCAAGGTCCTCACAGGGCCACGGGCATTGTCCCCTGGCCCTGGGCTGGGAGGGGTGACCTTATGGGGGAAGCAGATACCGGCCTGCCCTTGGGGTTCGGAGTGGCCGCTCTGAGGGCTGGCTGAGACAAGGAAGCTCTGTGGGCGAGATGGGAGTTGTGCATGGAGAGGGCCAGGGGGGCTTCCTGGAGGAGGCAGTGGCTAAGGGGAGCCCTCAAGGATGAGGCTGAATCAGCCAGGGAGCAGGAGGACATCAGGTCAGAGGGACTAGCCAGGACCTGGCCTGGAGGCAGGAGAGTGTGTGTGTCCTGGTCACCAATGTTCCGTCTGGTTCAGCATGTGTAGGACACCGGGTAGTGTTCACAGGAGGATGATGGGGAGCCCAGTGATCCGGGCAGGCTCCCTGGAGGAGGCTGTGCTCTGCAACTTAAGATGTCAGTAGGTGCATTGGGAGGTGGGCACTCCCAATGGGAGTGAGAGCTGTAAGCAAACACGTGGAGGCTGGCTAAGCAGGGCTTACACCTGGATCGGTGATGGGGTGGGGATTGGAGGCAGGAAGGAAGGATCTTGAAGGCCAGGCTGAGACATTTTGAAGGGCTCCCTGAAGCCCACTGCCTGCCCAGCATCTGAATTCCCCTGTTGTGCCCACTTGAGCCTTTTCGTTCTGCAGTGTGGGAGGAATTTTTGTGAGTCATTCACACTTGAGTATGAATTAGCCTATAATCTCCCAGGGGACCATGACAGCGCACAGTCTCATAATAGCACCTGCTTCCTGGGCTGGCAAGAGGCCTCATGAATGCAGAGGAGGCCTGGCTCAGCGAGGGGCACATGGCGGGCACCCTCTGTGCCACTGCCTCCTTCGAGACTGGGTCCCAGTGTCTCCCTGAATGGCGTACAGGGTGAGGGTTGGTCCCCATTGCCCAAGGCAGGCGGCTTGAGCTCCAGCGGAGGGCGGGGCCAGACCTTGGCCCAGTGTGGAGTCAGGCATGGATGAGCTCAGAGGTCAAGGAGAAGGGACAGGAAATTGTCCCTTGGGTTTAGTGACATGGAGGTCATTGGTGACCTTGGCAGGAGAGGAGTGGGTACAGTCCCTTTGGTGGGGGTGACTGATGACCTGCAGAGGGTGTGGAGGGGCTGGGCCTGTTGGAGAGCCCTCGTCTGATGGGAGAGGTATAGCGCTGTCCTAGGAACCTGTCTGATGGGGGAGGCACAGCCCTGCCCTGGGAGCCTCTGTCTGATGGGGGAGGCACAGCCCTGCCCTGGAAGCCTGTCTGATGGGGGAGGCACAGCCCTGCCCTAGGAACCCGTCTGATAGGGGAGGCGCAGCCCTGCCCTGGGAGCCCCTGTCTGATGGAGGAGGCACAGCCTTGCCCTGGGAGCCCCTGTCTAATAGGGGAGGCACAGCCCTGCCCTAGGAACCCATCTGATGGGGGAGGCACAGTCCTGCCCTGGGAGCCCCTGTCTGATGGGGGAGGCACAGCCCTGCCCTAGGATCCCGTCTGATGGGGGAGGTACAGCCCTGCCCTGGGAGCTCCTGTCTGATGGAGGAGGCACAGCCCTGCCCTGGGAGCCCCTGTCTAATAGGGGAGGCACAGCCCTGCCCTAGGAACCCATCTGATGGGGGAGGCACAGTTCTGCCCTGGGAGCCCCTGTCTGATGCGGGAGGCACAGCCCTGCCCTGGGAGCCCCTGTCTGATGGGGGAGGCACAGCACTGCCCTGGGAGCCCCTGTCTGAGGGGGGAGGCACAGCCCTGCCCTGGGAGCCTATTTGATGGGGGAGGCACAGCCCTGCCCCAGGAGCCCCTGTCTGACGGGGGAGGCACAGCCCTGCCCTGGGAGCCCCTGTCTGAGGGGGGAGGCACAGCCCTGCCCTGGGAGCCTGTCTGATGGCGGAGGCACAGCCCTGCCCTGGGAGCCCCTGTCTGATGGGGGAAACCCGGCCTGGGAGCCTGTCTGATGGGGAAATACAGCCCTGCCCTGGGAGCCCCTGTCTGACTGGGAGGCACAGCCCTACCCTGGCAGTCCCTGTCTGATGGGGGAGGCATAGCCCTGCCCTGGGACGGAGATACAGCCCTGCCCTGGGAGCCTATCTGATGGGGGAGGCACAGCCCTGCCCCAGGAGCCCCTGTCTGATAGGGGAGGCACAGCACTGCCCTGGGAGCCCCTGTCTGAGGGGGGAGGCACAGCCCTGCCCTGGGAGCCCCTGTCTGATGGGGGAACCCCGGCCTGGGAGCCTGTCTGATGGGGGAATACAACCCTGCCCTGGGAGCCCCTGTCTGACGGGGAGGCACAGCGCTGCCCTGGGAGCCTGTCTGATGGGGGAGGCACAGCCCTGCCCTGGGAGCCCCTGTCTGATGGGGGAGGCACAGCCCTGCCCTGGGAGTCCCTGTCTGATTGGGAGGCATAGCCCTGCCCTGGGAACCCCTGTCTGATGAGGAAGCCCTGCCTTGGGAGCCCCTGTCTGATGGGGGAGGCACAGCCCTGCCCTGGGAGCCTGTCTGATGGGGGAGCCCTACTCTGGGAGCCTCTGTCTGATGGGGAGGCACAGCCCTGTCCTGGGAGCCTGTCTGATGGGGGAGGCACAGCCCTGCCCTGGGAGCCTGTCTGATGGGGGAGCCCTACTCTGGGAGCCTCTGTCTGATGGGGAGGCACAGCCCTGTCCTGGGAGCCTGTCTGATGGGGGAGGCACAGCCCTGCCCTGGGAGCCTGTCTGATGGGGGAGCCCTACTCTGGGAGCCTCTGTCTGATGGGGAGGCACAGCCCTGTCCTGGGAGCCTGTCTGATGGGGGAGGCACAGCCCTGCCCTGGGAGCCTGTCTGATGGGGGAGCCCTACTCTGGGAGCCTCTGTCTGATGGGGAGGCACAGCCCTGTCCTGGGAGCCTGTCTGATGGGGGAGGCACAGCCCTGCCCTGGGAGCCTGTCTGATGGGGGAGCCCTACTCTGGGAGCCTCTGTCTGATGGGGAGGCACAGCCCTGTCCTGGGAGCCTGTCTGATGGGGGAGGCACAGCCCTGCCCTGGGAGCCTGTCTGATGGGGGAGCCCTGTCCTGGGAGGACTCCTGCTGCAGCCCTGGTCCCTCTGCCCCTTTGAGTCCTGGGAGGAGTCGCTGCCGCAGATCCCTGGAGGAGCAGATGTCACTGACCCAGATTTCTCAGGCATGGGACCAGGAGGGGGCCTGGCTCCATGACCCAGATAGTCCAGGTTTCTGTAGCTCAGATGAGAGGTGGCACAGGGTCTCCCACGTGTGGGAGTGGCATTGTGTGCAAGAGCTGTGTGCAAGGAATGGCCTGCCATGCGGCCGAGATGAGAGCACGTGCAGCATCCTGCAGCAGGAAAGGTTTCAGTTAGACTTGGGGAAGAACTTCCAACCTTGAGTCAGGGTCTGAGTATAAGAAGATGCCTCCTACAGGTCTCGTCGAAAGGAAGAGGGTCAGTGGTTCTGAGCTTCCCCGGGCAAGGCGTGCCTGAGATACAAGCAGGGGCCTGAGTCAGGGCCACTGATTCAGCTGCTCTGCTGAAGACCAGGCTTGGCTGGGTCCGGATGCAGCCTGGGCAAGCCTCCGCTGACCAAGTTCTTCCCCTGGCTTGGGATGGGGTGCGAGGCTCGCCTCCCCCCACAACCCCCTCGGGCCTCAGCTTGTCTCTGAAGGTCCCTTGCAGATCTGGTATTCAGTCTAGTGGTTCAGACTGCTGTAGGGGCAGGGGTGGGCAGAAGGACAAATTGGAATTCTGGTCCTACTGCTGTCTTGCTGTGTGTGGCTTTGGACAATCGCAGTACCTCTCTGGGCCTTAGTTTCTTTGTTTACAAGTTTCTTTAAAGGTTACAAGACAAAATGCACAGAAAGGCCTGAGCACACCATGGAAGCGGCTATTCGTGAGGGGCAGGGGAAGGGAGGGAGGGTCCCTGTCCCTGTGCTGACACCCCAGTGCTGGCTGCTGGCCTGCCAGAGCCAGGAGGACGTTGGTGTGGGGCCAGGTTCGAGGCTGGCAGCCTGCACGTCCATCCTGCAGGCTCTGGGTGAGGCCCTCCACCAGCCCCCTGGTGGATACCTTACAGCACGGTCAGCAGCTGCCCGCCTTCCAGGCCACCAGCCTGAGCAGCCGGTTCTCTGGACCAGACAGGCATCTTCCCGTGCCCCCCACGGCCTGGAGGGGCCTGAGGTGGCAAGAACAGGCCCCAGCTGGCCCCTCAGTAGAGTGGGCAGAGGCCCTTTGCCCTCCCTTGCCTCCAGAAGAACATAAGCTAATTAGCGACCACAGCAGGCCAGGCCCCCTCGATCCGGCTGGCATGCTCCCAGGAGGGGCGGGCAGCCGTCAGCCTGGCGCCCTGCGGACCAGCCAGTGGGCCTGGGAACGTGCCAGGCTGCCGGCCCCAGCCAGCCTGGCTCCCCCACCTCAGGCCTCGAGAGTGATGTCCCCCCAGTCCTCCCAGCAACCTTTGGGCTGGCAAGACACTTTGTTTCCGGGTCCCACGCTTGGGAGAGGAGGCTTGGACTGGAGGCAGAGCTGGGGTGTGACAGGGGCTGGCTGGGCACTCGGGC